GGAGGGAGTGTGAAACCTATTTTCAAACTCTGTTACGATTATCTGATGCAGCTAGTACTCTTCAATTCTCTAAGAGAGAGACTTGAGTCCTGGGGAACGTCTGTCTTAGGTGAAGAGTAGGCTCCAGCCTAGCCAGTGCTGAGATGAGTGTGCCTTCAGTCAGCACCGCTGCCCTTAGCTTGGTGGTGGCTGTTGCACAGGAGCACCCGCACGCTGCCAGAGGCCCTCACAGGGACGGCTGCTAAGCTGTCCGGGATATCTGCAGGCTGACTGGGCCTTAAGTGCACACACAGGTTGGTCTGGTCTTGAGCTTGAGCGTTGGCTCAGAACCATGCGTAATGGTAGCATAAATATACCCCTGGAGAGGGCAGAACGGACGTACAACCAGTGAGCCCCAGATCATCTGTTCTCAGCTGGTTTCCATGTAAACTCTCCACCTAAAGAGTTAAGAGCCGAAATAGTGCCATCCCTGCAGCTCCTGTCCTCCAGTCCAGCAGAGAAAAGTGAGTCACTGTGACGTTATACCCGTGCAGATTTCTCTTCCAGCATCTCTTCTCCCAGACTCTTCAGAAAGCACATCACATAGAGCAGCTGCTTTTCCCCACAGAGAACTAGCTGCAGGAGACTTAACAGTAATACATCGGTACCCAGCCTTCACGAAAGAGGGCTGTAAGCTGCTGATCCTGCAATAACACCTCTAAGGATTTAGAGTCTTTAATGTTGATTGCTGAATATTTCTGTTCCCCTCTGAACCATTCCAACAGTTGTTTCAAGTGAATGTATTCATTCCCTTCCTTTTAACCATTGGAGCTTCTTGCTTGGTCTGGGAGCAAGGAAGAGGGAATGAAAGGGTCTCTTCAAATTTGCTGTAGCTGCTCTCTTAAAAGAGAGCATTGACACAGATTCTGCAGCTCTCGCGTGTAGTAAGACTCCCAGAGGACCTGCACGCACAGAAAGACTGCAGGATCCTTGTGGGCACTCCAGGAAGAGTGTGGCTATTCTCCTCCCCACTGGATGAGAGTATCGTATCTATTCCTAGCATGGATCTACCAGGTGGCAGCATTCCCCTGCCAACATACCTTTGGTTTGGCTTACCTTGAAAGCTATGATGTTATATTATATGATGACGTCATTATATTTATTTCAACTTTCAGTGAAGATTCCTGGCAAATCTCCGAGCTGAAATATCTTTTTTTTAATGGATCCAAGATCCAGCCAACATGGTGCAGATTACATTTATATAACACAACCCAAGTAAGGTGAACTGCTAGGGATTTTTTTAACAGCTGTTGACGTTACTAAATTGAGATTATTTCTCTATTAAAACTATGGAAGAGGAAAAACTTGTCCGGTATTTATACAAACACTACTGCTCTAATTTCTAGCTGTGGTTATTTTTGTGATGACTCCATCATGCACTCATGCAATCTCAAGAATTTACCTTTGTGGTAGTATTTTGAAAAGGATAAAATGAATCAAACATATTTTTTCAGTTAAGTACGCATATGAGGACACCACACTTTAATGGGATGTGTAACAAAGTTTTCCCAGTTGGTTCTTTTTCTTCATGCTACCTGGACTAATTTTGAATGAGCTTATTACAAAGATTTGGACCACTTTGGTCTACTTTTTTTGTCCTTTTATCAACTGTGTTACTCTTAGCACTTTCAAATTAGCCTACAACATCACAACTTTCATCGAAAGTCACATGCTTTTCCTGATAAACAGAAGTACAAAACATTTGAGAATGCTACATAAGATACTGTTCTGCACTGGCAAAAATAATGGCTTGGACGCTAAATCAAATACCCTCAAAGAACCCCCCTTGAACACTGGGCCTTAACATTACTAGATTTTGAGTAAACACATGGTGTGAGAGAACAAATTATTCTAGATAAAGACTGTCTACGCTGACAAAGTAGACGAAGTCCTGTACTCCTCATAGGGAACAGCAGCACATAGGTTAAGTGACTGAACTGAGGTTACGCAGTCTATGGGAGAGGTAGAAATGGATTTAAATTTTCAACATTTTGCTTTAAGACACTAAAATTGCAGAAGAAGAAACTGAAGAGTAACTAAAAGCAAACTTTTAACCTTTCCCTTCTTATTTCTTCCCCACAGTGGTCTCTGTGAGGTCTTATGATGCCACTACAAAGATCAGCAAACAAAAATTGGCTGTGTTATGAATTGATTTCAATTTAAAAGAGCCATAATTCAATTTTGCTTTAAAAACATATTACAAAATCTAATATGAAAAGATTTGCATAGAAACATTCATCAGAAAGATATTTTATTTGTTTGGCTTGAAACACTTCCACTACAAGCCAAACATTTCAACGCTAGGGCAGGAGGACCAGAAAGTGAACCTGACCAGAAACAACAGTGAAAACTACTAGTTTATTTTTGCTCTACCAGCTGACAAAATTTAGTTATTTATTTAAAAAAAAATCACGGGCCTTGTGGATGGTGAAACTTGATTTTTTTTAACCCAAAATATTCTTGTAAATTTATTAGTAACAGGGCGTTATTAGTTGAGAAAGCATGTACGTACATATGTCTTACTGATTACAATGACTATCAGATTAAAAATAAGACAGATGCAGCGATAGCTGTTTAGACTATATTAACAACACACTTATTTTACACTCACATGACACTTACACACACATCTCTGCACACAGCAAAATCCAAAATCTTTAAGCAAACAGTCAGAGGTGGTTTCCAGATGAAGCCTCTGTTTGCCCCATTCTTGGATCACAGACAGATAAATCACTGGGTGAGTCCCCTCGCTAAGTAGTGGGAATATAACTTTAGTAAAGTTTGCTAATGGGGCAAAGGACCTTGTATTGTAATCCAGTGACATTTTCAACCTTCGGAGAACTTTTGTTGACATTCCCGAGTCCCTGGCTGCCATCCCAGCATGAAATAGTTTCTGTTCACATAATTCTCGTGTTTACCAGTCATGAAAAACTCTTGCTTTTGGCTTTTTTTTTTTTAAATAAACTTTTTTTTTTGCAAGTGAAACTCTGTCTAAAAAAATATTGGCCCCAGGCATAGAAGGTTTTGCATAAATTCATATGTGATGAATGGCTGATTTTAATGTTATTTGGGTATTTGTCAGAACCTAACAAATATACATGGTAATGGTGGTTCATAAACTTAAACATCTCAATATACCCTTTCTTCTAGAAATAAATTACGTTTGTTTGCCCTGCCTGGAGTCCTAAGGTAGCCGACATTAGGAATATTTTAAATGTGATCATCCATCCAGCATGTCTTTCAGGCGCCACGAAGATTAAATGAAAGAATCATAAGATGAAGGTCTTTAACTTTTAATCCTTTTACAATGAACCCTTAGATAGACATGGGGGCAGGGTGCCTTCTATGTGAGTAATAATGCCTCTGTTCCTCTTCACTAGGTTAATGAATACCCTAAATGTCCCAAGATCTGATTTTCCCCCCCCCCAAACTATTGAAATTAGAAGCGAAGAGACGGGTGGTAAAACGCGCCGAAAGAGTGAGAGAGGGAATGAATATGCATTCGAAGATAGGCGAACTAAACGTTAGAGAAAGCAGGGCTGGGTTGTGTCAATGAAAGACCCGCGGCTTTAATATAATTAGCATAGATTCCCTCAGAGTTTGGGAAAAAAAAAAAAAAGTTTTTTGATTCCAAGATAAATAAGGAAAAGGCTTTCTGCGCTGTCAGGGAGCCTTTGAAGAACACGTGGAAAGTTTGTTTTTGCAGTCGGTATCTACGAGATACTAACCGTCGGGTCTCCCGGCACGTAAAACTCAAATGCTTCGTTAATTGCGACGGGTCCTTACGGAGCCGCGGGACAGT